TGGTTTGGCCAGGCGTCTGCTGCGGCCGGGGATTCCCGGCTGTCCCGGCAGTGCCCGCGGCTCCCGCACCCGGCCGGGCTCCCCCAAAGCGGTGACGGGAGCAGCTCTGCCCCGAAGCGCGTGGGGAATTCCTGGTGACGAGCGCGGGGCCGAGCAGCGCGGGGCGGCTGACGACACAGGACGAGGAGGGAAACCCAGCGCCGGGGTGGAAGCGCCGGCAGCTCCGGCGATGCCGGCACCGACGGGGGCGGTGAATCCACAATCCCTGAGCAGCGCCAGGAGCTGCTTTGGAGCTCAAACGAGCTGCGATAACGAAGGCAAAACTGGGGCCCTGTTTCTGGGGGCAAAGGCAGGTGCTGAGCTGGCCCGAGCGGGAGAGGAAGGAGCCGTCCTTGAATCAGTGCCATGCACTGCCCCGGTTGGAAATGTGCCCCATGGCCACGTGGGTTGTGTGTCCAGAGGGGACCGGGGTGAACCAGGCACCTCTGCAGGATGCTCTGGGTACATCCAGGTGGTCCCACACCTACCTCCCTCTACCTCGTCCGTTTGGACCTGTTTGAGCCTCCCCATCCCTGCCCTGCCACCAGCTGCTCAGAAAGCAGAAGCTCTGGCCCAGCCACCTCCAACGCCGCCGGGGTTATTTTAGGTCTCCCGAAAGAGGAAGGTGGCACCAGGCGGGCGGCAGCAGAGAGGAACGGGGCTGGTGCCGGCCGTGCTCCCGCTCCTGCCCACGGTGGTTCCACAGCACGGCCTGGAAAAGCGGGGCCAGCGCTTCCACCAGCAAAGGAGCTTTTGGGATGGCCCCGGCCAGAGCCGCTCTGCTCCACGATACACGTTTGCCCACACACAGGGAGCACAGGAATGCGCAGTGGGGGGCGGCTTCACGCACACGTGTTTTCCAACGTTTTACTGTTCCCAGCGCTGGTGCCGCGGGGCAGGGCGGTGCCGGCTCCGCGCGGCGCTGCCGGGGCCGTGCGCGGAAGGGAAGCGCGCGGGGCAGAGCGGCGCCTGCGGCTTTGCAGCCGAAATCTAGGTCAGGGCTCTCGCTAACGGGGGCACCGAGCCCAGTTCGTCTCGGCTCCAGGCGAAGCAGCAGAGCAGAGGCACCCGCCCAAGCCTGGCAGGGAACGGCCTCCCCGTGCTCCTCCCCGGCTGTCTGGGATACACAGGGGGGCTGCGCAGCCTAAGGGAATTGGGCTCCTGGTCCCAGATGCTCTGCAGTGCCCCAGAAATGGCGCCCGGGACGCGCTTGCCTCGGCGCCCAGCACGCGCTGCTGGACACAGCTCCACGGGACGCGCGTTTCCCGCTGCCGCGCGCTTCCCTTTTCATGCTCATCTCGGGCGGTGAAAACACAGCGAGTGGAAAAGGCTCTGAAAATGAAAGTAGTGGGAAATGAAATCGTAAGCGAGCTGGGCTCGCAATGAGCCACATTGCAAAATTAAAAAGAGGGGAGGCGCCCCGGCCTTCCCTGGCGCTGCCGAGTGCCAAGGGCTTCCCAAAAAGGAGGCAGCAGCCGAGGCTTTGAATCCGGCCCCTCCGAAACCAGCGTTGGGCTGTTTTGTACCTGGGCATGGGAATATCCACCTGGAGGAAGGATGAGGGAGGCGGAGGGGGACACTAGGGTGAAGGGATGCCGGGTCACAGCTCTTAACTTTCAGGACAGGGATAGCGGGGAGGAAAACCACCCAGGATTGTGTTTCCAAGCGGCACCTCCATGTCTGGGAGCAGAGGGTGCCGCACTTCCCTGGGGCGCTCCGATCAGCACGGGCCACCCTCGCTCCCGCAGGATCACGGGGCCAGGGGAGGGAAGCACCTGGCAGTGATGAAGGAGCATGGCCAGAGCTGGCTCCGGAGCAGCCGCTACCCTCCATGGGGCGGCCGTCCGCGGGCTTCGAGTCTGGCGGCGCCGTGACATGGGCTCCAGGCCGGCACGCGGCTCCACAGTGGCTCAGGGAGCAGCGGGGACCTTCAGGGGTGCCACCAGGTCCCTCCATCCCAAAAGCCGGGTGAGCAGCCGGATCTGCTCGGCAGGGCCCCGGGGTGTTTCCCTCGGTGGAAGGAGGGGACGGAGTCGGAGCGGCACTGGGGCGCGGGGACGGCCGTGCTGGTGCTGCCACCTTCCCTCCAGAGACGCACACGGCACCGGGGACGAGGCCCGGCCCTGTGGCAGCTGCGGGGGCTGAGCCCCACGGCGGGGCCTGGCACCACGGAGGTCCCTGTGCCCTATGGCAGAGCCAGCACCCCGTGACCCATATGGGCCCCTGTGGGCCATGGTGTGACCCAGCACCCTGTGCCCTATGTGGGCTCCTGTGCCCTATATGGGTCCCTGTGCCCCATGCAAGTCCCTGTGCCCCACAGTGTGACCCAGTGTCTGGAGCCCCAATGGGTCCTTGCGCCCCACGGTGGGACCCAGTGCCCAGAGCCCCAATGGGTCCCTGTGCCCCATGGTGGGACCCAGAGCCCTGAGCCCCACACAGGCCTCATGATAGGACCCATTGGCCCAACGTGTTGCTGAACATGGAGGAACCGCCCACCCTTCCTAGTCTCCCTATGACGTCACACTCATCCCCGAGTCATGACGTAATTCCCAGCGCCCTGCGCTGACGTCACCGCCCCCCTCCCCGTCCACCGTTTCCGGCAGGCGGGGAGGGGGGAACGTGGCGCTGTCGCCATGGCGACGCGGAGGGTGACGCGCTCTCCCCGCGCCTCCCCGGAAGCGGGCGCGGCGCTAAGTGCGT